GCCTTGAATCGGTGTAGGTCCAAAGAAATGTGGTCGGTTCCACCACTGCTCATCTCGTCCAACGTCTTTACTACTACGTTTCTCCTACATAATCGCTCCCGAGGATGTCGGTCCCAGATAGGAAGGTACGAATAGCGGAACAAGAAATTCTTCGGCCAAGCATTTTTCTGACTTTTAGTGGAATTCAGGGAATATTTTATGTGCATCTTGCAGTGCCGAAGCTCATTGCTGGTGGTGATGCTAGTTGAACGCCTTTAAAATATACCACAGGCATGGTGCATTAAAGCTACTGCGTACTACACTACGGGCGCATTACGGACCACACGCTGGCGCAATCACCAGCAGGTCAGGTGGGATAAATATATCTGTAAAATCATGGTAGTTTCTCGAACTGAGAAATGACTAAGCAATAAAAGTGGAGCTCGTATGGAAGGTTATAACCAGAATACTCCTGCCACATCTTTTGACTGTAAAACAAGGGCCGGGTGCACCAAAGGTAGTGGCAGCTAATTACCACCTCAATCATAGAAATCAGGAATCCAAACTAAAGTTTGAGTGAGTCTTGCCACCCTGTCTTCATTCGCAAGCTTGGAAAATCTCTGCAGCGATTGATCTGCAATTTGTTGACCGCCGGCACAGTGCTGCGTACATTACCTGCGTGAACACGGGTGTCGATTTGTATACTTCTGGGTGGGCCGCTGGCCCTAATGTCCGCTTTGGCCCCCCTCCCCAAACGGTGAGTTTGGCTCCCCCAGCCTTCTAGAGCCAGAGTACAGGCAGATTAGCATAAATGGGAAGTCAAAATTATATACATCTGAAATAGGGCTTCTTCTCATTGTTCCACATGTAAAAGGATAAAGAAAATGAAACCGCTATGTCACGCTCAGTTCAATGCAGCTCACTGAGGTAGTCATACTGTGAAGGCTCCGCGTTCGTACCGTGCTAAGGTAAGCATTTTCGTGATTTTTATCGCATGATGCATGCTTTTAACTACATCTTGATGTGTCTTGTTGACTTTGATATCAGTTTGTGTCATTGTCTGAGTGTTTTGACATTGTGTAATGATGTTTTAACATTCTCAGACTGCAGCAAGTTGCGTTATTTTGCCACGATACGATAAGATGCCTTTTCGGAAATTCATAACAAAACGGTCAAATGTTGGCACCCAAAAACGTGACCGAATTTTAGCCGGCAACGTTCGAAAGAACCCTTGAAATTTGCCAGCCTCTAATTCGAGATGAATGTTTGATGGAACAGTTACGAAAACTCGATGATCAACACCAGCCGACGAAACTGACAGTGGCAGTCGTCCGACATTGACCATCAAAACAGCATTAGCCGTGTCGAACATGCCCAACGCGAGTGCTGCGTTGCAGTCTGCAGCTCGCCTTACGGCTATCAGCCGGAAGCTTTCGTGGCAGCTTTTGATAGTTGTGCACATCAACATACGCTATTCACTCCCAAAGCCGCACACGTCCAAAAACGTCTGAAGCCAGATAGCATCGACCATACGTCGATTACGGAAACATGGTTTCGACGATTAACGCTAAACAAAATGGTAATGATGCCTGAAGGCAATATTTTCCCGCCTGGGCGGAGCGCAAGAAACGCATTAGAGCAGTCAGGGACCTAGAGGGGGGGGGGAGGGGGGGGGGGGGCAGGGGCCATGGCCTCCTCCTTGGGCCCCGGAAGGGATGTCTGTGAAGTAAACGATTTATTCAGCGATTTTTTCAGCGACGAGTTCCGATTTCCCTGAAAAACGGTTTCAAGGTCAATTGTGGCATGAGGAACACCAAAATGGCCCTTAGTTTGCAATATCATGTGACCTTCAGCGTCAAAAGCTGGGTCAAAGGAAGGGGAACTCGATATCACCCAAAAATTACCGCCCGATTTTCAACTTGCAAATGTCAAAATATTCAACACAAAAAGATCTAGCGTCCGTCCAAAAGTCCTGACGTTTCTAGGTCACACTTCAAGGTCGAACACGGCCTCAGAGAACGGGGAATTTCATATCACCCAAAAATTACCGGCCGATTTTTAACTTACCAAGATCAAAACATTCACCACAGAAAGGGCTAGCGTCCGTCAAAAAGTTCTGACCTCTCAAGGTCACTCTTCCAGGTCAAACGTGGGCTCAAAGGACGGGGAACTTAATATCAATAAAAAATTACCGGCCGATTTATAACTTACGAAGATCAGAACATTCACCACAGAAAGAGCTAGCGTCCGTCAAAAAGTCATGACCACTCAAGGTCACGCTTCAAGGTCAAACGCGAGCTTAAAAGACGGGTAACTCCATATCACCCAAAAATTACCGGCTGACATTAAGCTTAAAGACATCAAAACAATCACCAGCGAAAGAGCTAGCGTTCATCAAAAAGTGCTGACCTCTGAAGGTCATGCTTCAAGATCAAACGCGGACTCAAAGGAGGGGGGACTCTAAATCACCCAAAAATTACCGGACGTTTTTTAACTTACAAACATCAGAATATTCATCACAAAAAGAGCTGGCGTCCGTCAAAAAGTCCTGACATCTCAAGGCCACCCTTCATGGTTGAATGCGAGCTCAAAGAAGGGTAACTCCATTTCACCCAAAAATTGTCGCCAGATTTTTAGCTTACAAACATTAAATATTGACCGCAGAAAGAATAAGCGTCCGTCACTTAGTTCTGACCTCTGTTACTTCTCATGTTTGTAGGTTAAAAGATGTCCGGTAATTTTTGGGTGATATTGAGTTCCCCGTCTTTTGAGCCCGTGTTTAACCTTGAAGGGTGACCTTTGGAGGTCGGGACTTTTTGACGGAAGCTACCTCTTTCTCTGGTGATTGTTTTGATGTGTTTAAGTTCAAAACTAGTCAGTAATTTTTGGGTGATATGTAGCTCTCCATCCATTCGGGCCGCGTTTGGCCTTGAAGGGTGACGTTGAGAGGTCAGGACTTTTTGACGGACGCTAGCTCTTTCTGTGGTAAATGTTCTGATCTTTGTAAGTTAAAAATCGGCCGGTAATTTTTGCGCGATATGGAGTTCCCGTCCTCTGAGCCTGCGTTTGACCTTGAAGGGCGACCTTAAGAGGTCAGGATGTTTTACGGACGCTAGCTCTTCTTGTGATGTATATTCCGATGTTTGTAAGTTAAAAAACGTCCGGTAATTTTTGAGTGATATAGAGTTCCTCTTCCCTTGAGCCCGCGTTTGACCTTATAGGGTTACCTTGAGAGTTCAGGACTTTTTGATGGACGCTAGCTCTCTTTCTGGCGTTTAGTTTGATGTCTTTAAGTTTTAAGTCAGCCGGTATGTTTCGGGTGATGTGAAATTCCCCGTCCTTTGCGTCCGTGTTTGACCTTGAAGGGTGACCTTGAGAGGTCAGGACTTTTTGACGGGCGCTAGCTCTTTCTGTGGTGAATGTTTTGATCTTTGTAACTTAAGAATCGGCCGATAATTTGTGGTTAGTATGAAATTCCTCGTCCTTTGACCCCACGTTTGACATTGAAGGTTGATCTTAAGAGGTCAGGACTTTTTGACGGACTCCTTATTGGGTGATTATTTTGACAACTTAAAGTTTAAAATCGGCCGGCAATTTTTGGGTGATGTGGAGTTTCCCGTCGTTTGAGCCCGCGTTTGACCATTAAGGGTGACCTTGAGAGGTCAGGAATTTTTGACGGACGTTAGCTCTTTTTTCGGTTATTATTTTGATTTATTTGAGTTTAAAATCAGCCTGTAATTTTTGGGTGATATATAGTTCCCCGTCCTTTGAGTCTGCGTTGGACCTTGAAGCGTGACCTTCAGAGGTCAGGACGTTTTGACGTACGCTAGCTCTTTCTCCAGCAAATATTTTGATGTCTTTAAGTTTAAATCAGCCGGTAAACTTTGGGTGATGTGGAGTTCCCAGTGGGTTGAGCCCACGTTTGACCTTAAAGCGTGACCTTGATAGATCGGGACTTTTTGACGGACGCTAGCTCTTTCTGTGGCAAATTTTCTGACCTTTGTAAGCTATAAATCCGCCGGAAATTTTTGGTCGATGTTTAGTTCCCCGTCCTTTGAGCCCCCGTTTGATCTTGAAGGCTGACCATGAGAGGTCAGGACTTTTTGGCGGACGCTAGCTCTTTTTGCGGTGAATGCTCTGATCTTTGTAAGTTGATCGGCCGGTAATTTTTGGTTGATATGAAGTTCCCCGTCACTTGAGCCCACATTTGACCTTGGAGGGTGACCTTGAAACGTCAGGACTTTTAGACGGACGCTAGTTCTTTCCGGATTGAATATTCTAACATTTGCAAGTTGAAAATCGGCCAGTAATTTTCGGGTGATATCGAGTTCCCCGTGCTTTGACCCAGTTTTTAACCTTGAAGGTCACATGATATTGCAAAATAAGGGTCGTTTTTGGTGTTCTCATGCCACAATTGGCCTTGAAATCATTTTTTGAGGGAAATCGGAACTCGTCGCTGAAAAAATCGTTGGATAAATCGCTAACTTCTCGGACATCCCGAAGGGGCCCATTGGCTCTGAGGTGGCCCATAGCCGGTCAGACATGATTTTTTCACAAAACGCCACAAAACTGGGCATTTTGGACTTCCCGACGACTAAAAATGGTTTGAAGCGAAAGTGAAGGGCCTATGAGGTGGGCACAAAATTACACCGGCGATGCCGGCAGTCCTCCTGTCCTGACCCGCCCTCCCATCCATTACGCCCCGCTGTGCCTAACACCGTCGGACCTTGGCCCTCGCTTCTGCCTGCGCTGACCCACCCCGTACCCCTTCCTGTTCGCAGGAGCGACAGAAGTAAAGAATTGGAGGGGGGGGGGGGGGTCGGAAGCATTTGCAGTGTTTTATTCCATGCACCGTTGCAAGCCCGCTGCTAATTATCTCAGTTGTTGGGAGGTGAGCTCGACCCCAAAGCCCTCCTCCAAGTGACGCGATCGTTCCCTCGCCCATGCTTGGTAACAATTGTTCCCACCCCGGCGCCATGGTTGTTATGCTGGCGGCTCGCGGTCAGGGCCGTTGGGCCCGT